GCGCCAGTGCACTTCGGTTCTGTTATCAGTAAGTGGCGACCTAGATATGAGTGGACGCGTGTCTAGAACCAAGCCTAACTGCGCCCGCTGCCGCAACCACGGGATCCAGGTTCCCATCAAGGACCATAAACTGTTTTGCAAGTGGAAAAAGTGCAAGTGTAACAAGTGCAAGGAGACGGCAACAAGACAGCAGGTTAGTGCGGTTTACTCATACACTAAGTTTGTACAATAAACTATTGATCTATATAATTAATACGCTACATGAAACTTTGTCGGTTGAACTCCTCCGCCATTTCTTAACCGATTTTATCCATTGACGTCTCATTGGAAAGAGCATGTCGCGTAGATTTGCAAACTGGCCTTACATTTTTGAAAAAGTCTCTTGGGCTCTGCCCCAGTGGCTATTAAAGTTCCCATGTTATCCTTATGAAGAACATAATTGTTTACATTTTGATCAGCTGTATAATTTAACTAGCTGTACCCGCGGGCTTTGCCCCGTTTAACTTCATAAGTGAGCTCGTATTTAATAATAGTAAAATCAGTTGATTTAAATTTCTTTATAAAAAGTGAGTACTTAAATTTGACTTAAGTCATAAATGTGTAAACGGAATCAAAATAATTTCTTTGTAGACATGTGTATATTTGATTTGCCGGTAGTATAATCAGATATAGTCACTTTGCATACAATATGTCCTAAGATAAGACTAAAATCAAATGTAACCACACGATATCGTAACCTGTTCTTTAGAAGTTAAGTAATGTAGTAACGCAGTAATTTAATAATGTAATGTATTTTAATAAAATATTAGAAATTGTTAATATAATTGCTGTAGCATTTTTCACAAAATGATTTTCTGATGTTTGGTTTTCAAATTGCATTTATTACAATGTTGAATTTAAATAAACTTCGTTTGAACTTTGGCGCCATTACTATAGCGCTGGTCATTGAGAATAGGCTGGAAAATTGATAGATTAAAAACTTGACTACTTTTCAAGGTTTTGGCTGGTTATGCATATTTAAATTTGACTAGAATCAAATAATAATGTGTACAATTGTTTTCTTAACGGCAATTAATTTACTAATGAGTAAAACCTACGTTTACTTAAACATGTTTTTAATAGTTACAGTTTTCTATAAATAATAAATAATTATTAACATTTACAACGAAAATACTGTAAAATTACTCGTATGTACAGGGTGTCCCATAAGTAAAGTGCCAAACTCTGGGAATAGGTTCTATGGGTCAAAATAAAGAGAAAATCAAGAATAAAGTTTTTTTCAAAAACGCTTCGTTTACCAGATATCCGCCATTTTGTATTTTTTACTAAATAATTTATATCTTCTGATTTTTTCAACCGATCCTTATAAAACTCGGTAAGTATGTTTAGATAAAAGAGACCTACTGTAGAAAAAAAATTCAACTTGGTCCAATTTAAAATTTCAAAATGGCGGCCATTTTGAACATTTAATCTAAAATTACGGGAAAACGGTAAAAAATACAAAATTGTACTAAGAACACTTTTTTTTATAAAATTTTATTTCCAATCTATCAACACCAAAAACATGAAAATCGAACAAAAAATAACCGAGATACATTAAAATGTGTGTTAAGAGGCAGCAAAAAATCCATTTGTTGTAAATAGCCCCAATCACCAGATCAGCTGTTTTTAGAAAATAATTGTAATTGGTATAATTCATATTTTTTCAACCGACCTGTATAAAACTCGATAAAAGAGACCTACTGTAGAAAAAAATTAAACTTGGTCCAATTTAAAATCTGAAAATGGTGGCCATTTTAAACTTGTAATCTAAAATTAACAAAACAATAACCGAGATACATTGAAACCATTTATTGAGTGACAACATAAAAAATGAGGAAACTAATTAAATACAAAATCAAATCTTAACAAATGATAGCTTTTTTGAAAGTTATCAACTACAACAAATGTTCCATGTGTCCTCCATTCATTTCTACGACACAAACCATCCTCTTTCTCATCGACTCCCTCACTCTTTCAAATACCCCAGGCTTTTGTCTTATCACTTCACAACCTGCTACAATTCGTTCCCTTAAGTCCTCAATACTGTCAACAGGGGTATGGTAAACCAAAGATTTTAAATAGCCCCATACAAAAAAGTCCAGGGGATTAAGGTCAGGAGACCTGGCAGGCCATGGGATGGGCCCCCCACGCCCTATCCATTTATTTCCAAACACTTGATTTAAATGTCGCCTTACATCCAATGAAAAGTGTGGTGGCGCACCGTCTTGCATAAACCACATATTGTTTCTCAAATGAAGGGGTAAGTTTTCTAGCAATCCGGGAAGATCTTGTGTTAAAAAGTTTAAGTAAGACACACCATTAAGTCGGTTGGGTAAAAACCATGGCCCTATAAGATAGTCCCCAACAATGCCTATCCAAACATTGAGAGAAAAGCGCACTTGATGCCTTCTTTGTGATATCTCATGGGGATTTTCATCGGCCCAGAAGTGATTATTATGAAAATTAAAAATTCCTTCTCTCGAGAACCCAGCCTCATCGGTAAATAAAATGTTGGAGAGAAACAGAGGAAGTAATGCGATCTGTTGCAAGAACCATTGACATAAGTTAATACGGGGTGGAAAGTCCCTATCGGTTAGGCATTGCACCCTTTGGATATGGTAAGGATACAACTGCTGATTATGTAGAATCCGCCACACAGAACTTTTTGAAATACCATGTTCAAGCGATATTCTTCTAACACTAGTACTTGGGTCTTCTTCCACGGCCGTCAAAACTCTTTCTTGATTATTTAATGTATCTACAGAAACAGCCCGTCCGGTCTTCTCAGTGAATTTTAGTGTTCCTCGTTCCCTCAAATTCCTGTGAACATTTACAAACACTTTCCTACACGGAATTCGTCGGTTGGGGAACGTTTCTGCGTAAAGGCGGCATGCCTCACGCGAATTCCCATTACCTAAGCCGTAAAAAAAATGAATATCAGCTAGCTCGACATTAGAATAGCTATGGTTCGGCATTTAAATAAACTTAGAAAATATCAACCTAACCTGATCACAATGATGATGTTTAAAGTAAACAGAACAATAATAACAACAATGCAACAATGCAACTCAACAAACACATGTTTTTCAATCAGCTGTTCAGCTGATTGGGGCTATTTACAACAAATGGATTTTTTGCTGCCTCTTAACACACATTTTAATGTATCTCGGTTATTTTTTGTTCGATTTTCATGTTTTTGGTGTTGATAGATTGGAAATAAAATTTTATAAAAAAAAGTGTTCTTAGTACATTTTTGTATTTTTTACCGTTTTCCCGTAATTTTAGATTAAATGTTCAAAATGGCCGCCATTTTGAAATTTTAAATTGGACCAAGTTGAATTTTTTTTCTACAGTATGTCTCTTTTATCTAAACATACTTACCGAGTTTTATAAGGATCGGTTGAAAAAATCAGAAGATATAAATTATTTAGTAAAAAATACAAAATGGCGGATATCTGGTAAACGAAGCGTTTTTGAAAAAAACTTTATTCTTGATTTTCTCTTTATTTTGACCCATAGAACCTATTCCCAGAGTTTGGCACTTTACTTATGGGACACCCTATACTTACATAAAGATATTCAGATTATTAAATGTTACAGACAAACCAAAAAAGTTGAACTGTTTAAACGTGTTAAGTTTAAAGTTTCACACTTTGAACAAAATGTTAAACAACCCAAGCAATTGCATGAGCCAAAAAAGTTAGTAAATTTTATGTAGTTTTAATGATACCTTATTTGTTTAGAATGGATAAATAATAACAGAGGAATGTCTTTTTTTCTAAACTTTAAAAACTTTTCTCCTTTAAACAATGCTAAACAACGTAAAAGGGCTATTAGCATTGTTTAAATGGATAAAAGTGGAAATGCATTTAGAAAACTAGACATTTCTCTTTTAATATTTATTCATTCTTAACAAATAAGGTATCATTGAAAACTACATAAAATTTACAAACTTGTTGGTCTCTAGCAATTTGTTCGTTAACGGTTTTCGTGAAATAAAATTTCTCATCAAATATTTTAAATGGCTGCCATTTTAAAACGGTAAATTATTTTTTTGTATAATTTTAAACAAAACAAGATAAATATTTATGCAAAATCTCAACGCTGTACCATCAAACCGTCAACGGTACATCAAACCGTTTAGGAGTTATTACTTAAAAAAAAAAACACACATAAATACAGACAGACGGAAAACTAGGCACCCATGTTCCTATAAACCTAAGCAATAACACTATATACCAGAGAGTTGCATATAGTTAGAGAGTACCTCTATGTCCAGAGAGTTACGGGACATTCTGTATAACATTAATTCTAATTCTTATACTATGGCCTAGGTATAAAAAATGACAATACTCTAATGATTTTTATGGAGAATTTTTATTTTGGATATTTTTACTGTGTCAATGATGCGAGTTTATTTCGGCTATAAAATGATTTTCAATGACTTGAGATGACAGGGCCGTGCACAGAATGTCGCGCAATACGTGAGCACGATAAAAAATGTGGCATAATTTATTTCATACATATTTTAGACTGTATTTTATAATATCATGGACATTGTACATATATATTAGGCCTATATTTATTAACGTCTCCTACAAATTAAACACCACGAGCAATGCTCGGTCCCCTGGTACTCAGAACCAAAACGTATAACCCGCCCGGTGTCAAGGCCAAACGATCCCACGCGGTCACCGTCACTTTTGGTGCGAATCGCTGCTAGTCTGTCGGGAACGTCTGACGCGGCGGCGGTGTACTTGCATCGTGACGTCACAGGGCATGCACTCAGTCACGTGACTAACGATCAACTCTATCAAAGCAACAGTTTAGAGTTTACGAGCTGTCTCGTCGAGTCGTAAACAGATTTAGTTCGCGAAACGTCCACCCGGCGCTCCACCGTCGCAGACTGCACCACCGCTGCACTGATGCGTTTGTTGCTCGCCAGTGCGCCACTGCGCCAGTGCACTTCGGTTCTGTTATCAGTAGTGGGGACCTAGATATGAGTGGACGCGTGTCTAGAACCAAGCCTAACTGCGCCCGCTGCCGCAACCATGGGATCCAGGTTCCCATCAAGGACCATAAACTGTTTTGCAAGTGGAAAAAGTGCATTTGTGACAAATGCAGTCGTACGGCAGAAAGACAGCAGGTTAGTGTGGTTTACTCAAACACTAAGTATGTAAAATAAACTATTGATCTTTAATGATAGACGAATCAGTTGATGAAACTTTCGTTATAAAATGCGAGTACTTAAATTTGACTTAGGCCTAAGTCATAAACGTGTAAACGGAATCAAAATAATTTCTTTGTAGAATTGTTTATTTTTGATTTGCCGGTAGTATAATCAGATGAATTCACTTCTATACAATATCTAAGATTAGACTAAAATCAAATGTAACCGCACATTATCGTAACCCGTTCTTTAGAAATAGTAAAGTAATGTAGTAACGCAGTAATTTAATAATGTAATATATTTCAATAAAATATTTTGAATAGTTCATATAATTGCTGTAGCATTTTTCATCAAAGATTTTCTGACGTTTGGTGTTCAAATTGTATTTATTACAATTGGCACCATTAACTATAGCGCTGGTCATTGAGAATAGGCTGGAATAAAAATGTTTTTACAAAATTGATAGATTAAAAACTTACTACTTTTCAAGGTTTGGACTAGTTATGCATATTTAAATTTGACTATAATCAAAAAATAATATGTACAATAGTTTTTTAACTGCAGTTTTCTAATGAGCAAATCACACATTTACTTTCATTTTTTATGCTTAAAGTTGTTTTTTCGTTTTGTAGTTTTATTGTTGAATTTTAAAAAAATACAACTACCACTCGTCGCTTATAAACACATGGACCGGCGAGTGGCTAGTAATGAAAAAAGTAAAAGGAATATTGCCTAATTTCAATAAATTTTTTGAAAGTAGGATTATTAAATCTTATATTTAAAGTAAAATCACAGAAAAAAATTTTGCCTGTGGTGTTAAAAAACAAAACGTGAAAAAATACCTTTAACATCAAAAGATAATTATATAGGTACGCCTAGGGAAAAAAAGATTATTTAAATATAAAACTTAAAAGCACAGTGTACAATATTATTATAACCTTTATTATGAGTATTTGTCAAGTCTTCCTCAAAGTTAAGGTTCGGCTTATCAAAATTGTGAAATTCACATCATTTAGCCGGAAAAGGTCTGCCAGTGCCTGAGAGGGTGCTGACTCCACCACCAGTCTTCTAACCACGTTGTGTTCTAGGTGATGGCACAGAAAACATACTACTATAACCTTATAGTAGTATGTTTTAGTATATGTTATAGTAGTATGTTTTCTGTAGTGATGGCCAGGCAGACTAGGATTCACCGTGCTGAAGAGGTAGAGCGCAATTAAGCCAGGAAAGGTCTGCCAGTGCCTGAGAGGGTGCTGACTCCACCACCAGTCTTCTAACCACGTTGTGTTCTAGATTATGGCCAAGCAGACAAGGATTCGCCGTGCTGAAGAGGTAGTGAGCAATTTAGCCAAGAAAGGTCTGCCAGTGCCTGAGAGAGTGTTAACTCCACCACCAGAGTCTCCTCTTAATGTTGATGACTCCCTTGACTCCAACTACTCTGCGTGTGCCTCCCCCGCCACGGGGTCCGCCCCTCCGTCACCACCACGTCAGCAACCCCGGCTCACTCCACCTCCAAGGCCTTTCCATGACGGTAAGAGCATTTTTTGTGATTGGGGTGCTCTTTCTAATGTTGTAAACCGTCGTTGTCTCTTATTACCCTTTTATTTTTTCATTCTGAAATAAATTTTCATATGTCCTATTGCTATGTTCTTCTTTGGAGGACAAATAAATCTATTAAAAAGTCTCGAAGCTAAATAAATGTATTAGTAGATTTTGTTTGCCTATTCATAAATTACAAGTAACAAATCATAACAATTAAACTCGTGGAACTACTAGCACGAAAATTACTTTTCGAAATGTAGAGCAAAATATGTACATTGAGCATTTCTCGTAGAAGTAAAACAGCTCGGCTGTGTTTCATACAACATTTTTTATTTTAGTTCATATTAAGCCTCAGTTATCATGCATAACGTTATTTTTATTAATGTTTTTGTGTTTGACTAAATAACTTAATTAATTTGTTGTATCACTCACTAGAAATAATTTTTTTGAAAAAATGTACTATGTTGTAAATTAAATTGATTTAGCGAATAAAGATAACAAGTGATTGTTGTTCAAGAGTTTAATTGACTCAGTAATAAAAAAACTTATCAGTAATCCGCGTTGATTTTATCATGTGCTAATTTGGAAACGTTTCAAATCAGTGAGTTTTACTGTCCTTTGTTGCAACTTTGGCGTTGCAAACAAAAAGAGAAACACTGTAAACGCAATTGCCATTATCTCAGGGTAATATTAATAGACAGACATTCAATTTTAGTTCTAGTAAACTATAACATATTGTAGTAACCTCTTCCTATTTTAACCTAGTTGGTCTTTCCTCTTACTATTCGTGTAAACATGCATCACGCAAATATATAAAGTATCTAGCTTTTTTAAAGGACCTGTATTTTGTTACAAATGTTATAGTACTACCATGTACTACACAACACTCTAGGCGCCTGTGTGCAGTATTTCAAAAGTTATGTTGAATATCTTAATGTATAAAAACTTTTGCAGTAAACTTGTCGGTGCCCTACGTTTTTTTTCGCTACATCATAGCTACATGTAATAAAAGGAAATTATTTCACATTTCAACAACAACAAAATGAAATACTATTGTAAAAGTTTCAGTCCCATAATAGGAAGAAAGATAAAATGTATTATAGTTGTATGTTGTGCATTTTACGACAAGGTCAAAAGAGTTTATATCTTATCGTATACGTATCTTATCACATGTATTACATAGGATATCTTATCAAAATGCATCCGTTTTCGAGACAGCTTTTTTTTAACAAATCAAATTGGTGCATTGCATTTACGACAATAAATGCTCAACTGTCAATAGATGCTGTTGCTGTGCAAATGTTATAAATGAATTTACAGAGTAACATAATTTGGAGATACCGATCTAAGCATCCTAGAATGTCATTACTGACTTATACCACTGACTAATCGCAGGCTACAATTTTTTATTTGATTATTTAAATTTAATATTTGATGCATTAGACGTTTTTATGTTAATTTCTAAGACTAAAATTATAAAACCTATTGTGTAGATACACTATTTATGTGGCTTTATTAAAACTCTTGATATCTATGGAGCTAAAAACACTGCAGAAACGAAGGAAATTCAAATCCTTATTAAAAAAAATAATACTTCCTTATGCTTCTTAAGTTAGAAAATGAGTCGTGGGTAGTAAGTATTGGGTTAATATGCGTGTGTTGGCAAAAATAATAACTGAAATTGTTAATGCTTTTTTGTTTAAAGCTGGTTGACATAACAAAGCAACTATTCTGAAGAAATTTACGTTATAAATAAAAACCAAGGCTGTTTTGAAATAGCCTTAAAGGACTATATACAGATTTGCCAGTTGTTTATTTCTAGTTGCGAAACACGGGATAAGATACTAGTAACTTGTATAGTTCATGGAGGAGGCATGTCATATCACTGACCTTCCAGGCAACCATATTTGTCCAGTATAAGCATTGACTTTGAATAGAGCAAAGCTTTTATTTGCTTTGTAAACTCTAAGGCATTGCCATTGAACGGTTGAAGTAGACCTCACGTTCTGCTGTGAATTCTGAATCCCTTTTTCAGGCATGTTTCATGTCCGCCATTTAAAAATTATGTCAACCGTTGTTGGTATTCTTTTATGGGCGTTGATTTACCTTTTTTCTCAACAGTAAAGCTGTTTTCCTACAGTTACCTGACAAAGTGGGCTTCCTTGCACTGATTATAGCACCCAAAGTAGCTAATTGCTACATTTACCTACTTTTTACGCACTCATTTTCTCTTGCCGCAGCATTAGCAATTTTATGTACTATAATCGGTGCAAGGAAGCCCATCTTGTCAGGTGACTGTAGACAAATGACTATTGAATCTATGAATGAATTCTGTTCTGGTGTAGACTTCGTGATTCGCAACCAGGCAATATTTTTCATTCGATCTTTATTTTTAGTTTTTAGCTGGGTAAACAATACCAAATAAATAGTAAACAGAAAAATACCCACTGAACTTCCAGAAACACATCAAATTCTCTCTGGCTGATTCATAAGGGTGATAAAACTGCAAGGGAGTATGTTTAGGGTCTCAGTATCAATATCTCCCCACCGACACTTAAGTGTCCAATAACTGCGACTGTGGCTCTGCTGGAAAAGGCCAGACTCAAGGACTCGTAAAACTAAGTCAGCCGCCGACATTAAGTTTAACTATAAAGGTGGATGCGACTTTGATTGATTTGTAGCCGGCTGTTTCCTTCAAATAAGCTGCTTTTATGAGATGTGCGAGGTTATTCTGAACATGTGTGTTTTTAATTTATGAGACTGTGCTATTTAAATACATTTTATGAGTAACAAAATTATTTTTTACATATTCTCTGCAACGTTACAACTTATAACATTATTATCATTGAATTGAGACAGGGATACAATATGTGTATTAATCTAAACTAGTGTCCCTGTTGCTCGAATTCGAGCAATTGCTAAGTATTACAGGCGTCATTTAAACCGAATATCAGTCACCATTTCTGATGACTTTAAAAGATTCGACTCAAAGATTATGGGAATACTCAAGATGTACAGAACAGATCGATATAATCAACATTTCTTGTAAACATCTTATCATTTTGCAACAGCTGATCTTGTTTTTTAGTGTTTTCTACCAATAGCCTTACTCATAGCCGCATTAGGTTGTCCATAAAAACGATTATAAATTCTTTAAAAATCCATTTTTTCTATTTCTTCTCCTTGGTAGTGTTTAATGACTTTCCTGTTTCCATAGTTTGCAAATCGGCTCTTTCAATGATTACTAAGAAATGCAGCACAGTGTTCATTCAGTTTTCTTTTAGTATATCAATTTATCCAGGCTCTCTCGCTTCTTTCCATTGTAATATTTACGCCAACCCAAATTCAGATAGTAAATATTTCGTTTCAACCCAGTCATTAAATGTTTGTAGCAAACTGTTAAATTAGCCAACTTATTGACTGTTTACAACATATGTTCTTCTTCTCACTTTTAATTTCTGACAACAGCTGGAGTTGTATAAAAACTTTTGTTTCCCATGTTAATCTTATGGAGAAATACAACACCTTAAAGGGCCCCACGGCCTCACTGTATAATTATTTCCCTAAAAAGAAAGTTTCCTGCACAACTTCACGTTACGCTCTATCCAATGACACCAAAAACATGTCAATCGGTTCAGTAGTTTCGGAGGAGTAATTGTCACAAAAATCCTGCTTGCGTATTAAATAAGTATAGATAGATAATAAATATGGCCAAATGATGTGTGTAGAATGTAGCAGTAGGTTTGTTACTGACTAAAACCGATCTCTGTTTATCCATGGCTACTAACCTGGCATTGACTATGCATGCCCAATAATCAAGCACAGCTGGGTTCCCTTTGAAACAATTTAACATTTTAATACAATTTCAGGTTTGAACTTTCAACTTACTGATTTGTAAGTGACCGCTACATTCTACAGCAATCCGTAATCTCTAGTACAGTATTATTTTTTTAAGCTGATGTATTATTGTCGAAAGGTCAGATAAGTACGATTTAAGTAACGATGGTGTGTTGTAAAATCGAATAGGAACCCTTAAGAGTTTCTATGTTGTTTATGGAGAACAAGTTTTTATATTGTTCAAATCCAAATGGAAAATTTATCATTTGACTTTTTTATAGATATTGTAAGGGCTTACCTTAAGCAATCCTAATATTGTTGATCCGATATCAATTTAGATCCCGAAGGTTCATCTTCATTCGGAGTCTAGTTCGACCAAACGTCTATGGTAGTATCCACCCGATACTAACAACCCGTAATGTTTTGCTTTTGTAGAAAATTTAATAATATTTATCCCTTTCACAAATCACAGTTGACCCAAAAATGGTACACAAATTGGGGATAAAAACCATGGTTTTATGTAGGTCGACTTCATTTTAGTTTGGGAACACATAACCAGTTACTGTCAAAATCAAATGATAAAGTATAAATATATCATAGTATAAAGAACGTGATTTTCTGAGCTCAAAGAAGCAGTGCACATTACACATAGGTTCTTAATATCGTAGACTCTGGCGAGGTTGCGCCCATCTAAGCTGTAGTTGTAGAATACTACAGGAGCCAAGGTCTTGTGAAGTCTTGAGGAGCATTTTGAAGTGTTCAGAGACATACAGTTCTTGACACATCATCTCTCCACAGTTGAAAGACTATCCTGGAGCTTTCTGAATACAGCTTGGTGTACGAACAAGAAGTGCTTGATATGGATGGCTAATGTTGTTGTTAATGAAGATATTAAATAGGACATGATCGAGATGTGAGCCCTGGGGACACCCGATGTAGCAGAGATCAATCTTGAGGTACAGGAAGCAAACTTCGCCATCAGTTTCCAACCACAGAGGTAAAATGAAATTAAGTCAACAAATGGGCCGTGGATCCATCCCGTGAGCCGACAGTTTGACAAGCAGGTGAGGGGATGCTCCTGTCAAAGGCATTTAAAAAGTGAAGGAATATTGTGTCAACCTGCATGTGATTGGAGAACGAAGATTATGATACTATGGCGGATTGAAGCGGATCAAGTTTGTCATGGAAGATCTACCCGGTGAGAAGTCATGCGGCAAGATAGAACAAGTAGTGGGAAGACTCCTGACAGAATTAGCTTCTCGAAGACCTTCAAAATCGCTGACTGGAAAGCGATCGGTCTGTAGTTGTTCACCTCGGAGACCGAGCCAGATTTGTGTATAAAATAACATAGAGGTGCACAAAAAAGTTACAACATGTAGGACAACTTTGTGAAGAGAACATTTATGCCCAAGTCCCCTACAACCCTTGTAGGATGTGAAATCAGTTTCCTACATAGGTTTGATCAATTCATGCCATAAACTCCCTAAAATACTTACAATACCATATCTTATTGTATTCTGAACTTCACATATGACATTTTAAATCCACTCAGTCTAAGAATATGTTGTGATTATATTTGCTCATTCCCAGTAACTCGTGTCCCCAGAGCCAGTAAAGTGTGGATTTAACGCGACAGTTACGCGATAAAGAGAACAAGATAGCAACAAAGTAGGTAGTGAATTGCAGAGCTCGCTTCGCAAGGTCAAGTAGGTTGCATCACCACAAGCCGGTTGCACTTAGCGTGCACAATTTGGCACAAGTGTCGACGAATTATGCTCAAATACTTGCCAACTGCTGTGGAGACGCGTCTGTAAACCGTAGTCTATATGTAATATTTATGTTGACTATTTTAGTCATACTTCAAAATGATTGGTCAAAAGAAACGCAAAATTTATGATCATTTCATCGGACGTCGTGCATTCCTCTACTCGTGTCCTTCCAGTTTCAATCTTTAAAATGATGGTTTGTTGCACTATACGTACCTACACGTTTTAGTTTTCCTCTAACTGCAGCGATAACGGATGTTTGCATACATGAGTAACGTTCAATTATTTTTCAATAAAATAAAACTGTTCTTAAGTCCAAGATTGATTTTCCAATAGTATCAGAATATTTTCACAAATAAAATTGTCAATTAACTTAAAGAAATTAAAATCTAAAATCTTGAGTTAGAGAGGAATTTATTCGTCCAATAAGATTGCATACCTTAGCATCTGAAAGCATACTCTCATTTTTTGAGTTATGTCGAATAAACTATTATATACAACTGAAATTGCTTGCAAATAAAGTAGTTTCATTATCACATTACGTAAATCGACATTTTAGTTACTAAATTTTTCAAAAAGGACTTGATGAGCTCCTATTTTTAAACTATATTACATTCTTTACCGAGACTAGCAAATGAATTCTTTGAAACACAATGCTATGTTTTCGCAACACGTAGTAGCGAAATAACTTTGTTGCGATAGAGAGAGACAGAGGCATACAAAGTAGCCAAGCCAGTTTGATAAGCGGTGGTCAGTTGTTGAGGAGGCGTCGCTACGTCATAGGTCACTGCCCCCGATTTTAGGCGAGAGCTATATCTGTTTCTCAGACGGTTTGGTCGGACAACGATTTTACTTCTGCGATGAGGCATAATCGTTGTGCTTTTAATTATATCTTTTTATGGACTCCGATGATTGATAATTTAAATCGCTCCATAATTCTCAGTAATAACAGTTGGTGAATACGAAACTCGAGATTGCAATAAACATACACAGAGAAATGCTAACAATTTACGCATAAAATGTGAATAAGAAATTTATTTTCCTTTGAGCATTTAGACGCAATTGCCATCGTCGAAAATAATAATCAACGCTAAAAGAATGTTAGATTTTTTCCATTCGTTTTTGATAATTTTAAATTACATTGGACATGAAACCGCCTCAACAATTAATAATCTTGTAAGTATTACCAGGTTAAATGTGGCTTAAACTATAGTAATCATTAATTTACAGCGCTGCGTATTTCGTTGAGGTTTCAAAATATAAGCAAATTCAGCATTGACGTATAAATGTGCTGTCAGTTTTATTTCCCATAGTCGAACGGTTCTTTACGAAATGTTCAGGTCCTTCGATAAACGTTCTAAAAATGCAAGCAAAATAATCTAAAGGCTCATATAGGAATATTGAGCCTCTTTCATTTAAACATCACACTATACTGTTATGCAATTCATGATGCCAAAAAGTACAAAATTGTCAGTTTAAAATGAAGAATAACCCACAGATTTACAACCAACCACAAACTATTCAAAATCCACGATGGCTTCTCAGCAAATAAATTCAACTGCAGTGCATCCATAAGAAACACATCTGTCACAAACCAAAGCAATGGTGCGACGACGTTGACGCTTTCTTTGTCGCCACGCACTCGTGAATTTATGGCATATTTACGATCAGGCCTACAATGCTCTTGACCAGTGATTGGTTGTTTGTATTGCACAGACCAGCTGACCAACAATCGACTGTGTTTGTCACTGAGTGGTTGTGGACGCGGGCTCTCGAGATCGTGAAATATGCTCCGTTGAAAACCTACGAATTGAAAATGTAAACAAACTGGACACTTGGAGGACCATAATCAAGCACGTGTTCTTAGTTTAAATATCGTGTTCAATGGTGGTGGGGTGGCGTAGTTTACGAGACTGTAACGGAAATTTTCTACAACGATTGGTAAAAATCAAAGTTTTCACGACGTTTCGGGATCAGTAAATGGTCCCGTACTCAGATGGGATGGCACTTAAATTATTAACAAGAATATTAGGCGTGCACAAGCAGAGCCGAAGCTGAAAAAAAACTATCTGAAAACTTTCTTTGGAAACAAAGTTTTTTTAATGTAAAGGTAGGGTTGTGACCCATCATTTCAAACTGGAATTTACGCTGATTACAATGCCACATTTCGTTTTTAAAAAGAAAAAAACTTGTTTCAGCAAGTGGAATCATTTTTGTCTACAGTATATTAATACGTATTAGTCAATCAATTAGTTTTTGAGGCATGACTGATTGGATGATTAAATCAACCTATTTATTAAGCTGGAATAGATTATTGATAATCAATGTTTTAAGGTAATTTAAAGGTATTTTGGTCCCGTTTACGCAGAGTGTTTTGTTTCTTGTTATTTAAACAGCGTTTGGGTAATTTCACCTAACAAACGATACATCCATAAACTATTGTTGGTTCTCATTCGTTCAAACCAAAGGTACAACTCCTAAAATCAATCCTAAAATAACAGAAACATTTAGTGGATATTGGTCCCACTGACCCTGAACGTTACAAAAAAAACACATGTATAAGAATTACAGTATATGATTTCTACTTGCACTGTTAAAAACAGTGTTTAAATAGTGTAAGAATATAACACATATCTCCGAAAAGTAGATGGTCTTGTCTCCTGTTCAGAAAAATTATATAAAAATTCATTTTTTGCAAAGAAACGAACGCGCTTTATTGGTGCAGACGTCGGTTTTGGATTTTATGGAGGTTCAGTGTTTGAAAGCCGCCTTAGAATTATCACTTTACGAGTGGTTCTAATTATGAACTCCTGAATTGGTGTTATTATCTTTATTCGGGCGAAGGAAGGTTGCTAGACTACTGTATGGTTTGGTGTTTTTTTTCATTCGGAGAAAACACATTACAATCCAAATTATAATCCCGGGTCCAGACGAAAGGTTTGCTTCCAAATCGGTAAAAAATAACTGGTTTGTACAAATAATAAAACGGGCTATGAGCGTGAACTTAAATGTTATTTGTTTAAGGTAGACTTGTAACACTCCTCAACATTTTCACTACTTATGAGAATAAAATTGGCAATTAAGCTCCTTTCTTCTTGTATTATATTCGGAAGTGACTTTGCCAATGTTGCAAAATATTTTCTTGTTTCAGCCACTGATTTGTGGAAGTCCATCGTAAAGTTGATAGAAACGTGCCATCTTCCACTCAACATTTCGCCCCTGTTGTACATCATATTTACGGAGATCACACCGAACCCAGATGAAGTCATCAAACGTATCAAAGCTGGTGAGTTATTCTTTGTTGATAGAAATAATGCATTTTCCGTTACGAAATGTGGGTGCAAAGTTTTTACGGAATCATTGTATAAAATCATTGTATAGTTTAAAAGACACTTAGAATCGTAAGTGTAAAGTACAAAAGTTTAGGAACCATATATTTTGGATATTTTGCGGTGGTAGATGTTATAAATATACACCCATATATTAATTATTTAGGCTTGACAAGCTGTATCTGTTACGTTACCAGATAGCGCCAAATAGGGTGAAGAAGACCATTTTGATGCTTCCATACTCTTACCTAAAGGGGCACATCTGTAATTAGTTCCTCTTTTGGTTACTATTTTAATTTCCACAAATGTTCCATCAGAACGATATACAATCAATGTTGCATTGTATGTTGTAACGTGTTTTAGACGGACTGTTTATTAATTAAAAGGACTATGTATTTATGGTGCCGTCAATTTATTATGAGAATATTCAGGAGCTGTTGACCATCTACAACTGGATAAAGTTTAACTGATGTTTTTTTTTTTTTAAATAGTCTTGAATTAAGATTAAGATTATCTTAGTACCAAAGCTGCACGTAAATCTCATACCTCAGACCATTCTTCATTCTTTCATATTCAGTTTACAAAACGCAACGTGGTGTCGCTGTTATACATATAAATAGTATATTTTCTGTTGATAGTAGTTTTAAGTATTAATTAAAATAATGTATTTACTGTATTTATTTATATAACTAGTAAGGGCGGTGTAAGCAATTTAGATACGGCTTTTAGATTGCCTAGGGTATTTTAAAGGGGTCCAACATCAAAAACGGTGTAATTATTAACAGAAAAACGTTGTATTCGATACATATAATGTACATCTTCAAGGTACCTACTATTCATTTATCCTTACTCTAATTAAGAGAAGGGCATGATTAATGAGCTATAGAACGCAAAAGGATACAGATTATTTTTAAAATTAGGATAGTGTATGCTAAAATTAAAACCTATATTTAATTTATTTTCTGTTTGTTCTTATACATTATTTTAAGATTTTTTTCTTATTTCTATCTTTATATATATAAATCTTTGCTCAACTTTCTCAACATTTTGGGACGTACAGACAATCAAAAACAAATTTTCTTGAGCTCCAGAATAACAATTACAGTTGGTGAGAATAAACCATATCCAACCCGTAACTAACCTAACCCAACAAAAACGACTGATAAAAAAGTGTCGTGAAGATAACCAGGCCAGTTGCATCATAATCGTCAGACACTCTTATCTTTTTTATAAGTAGAAATGAGTTAATTTTCAGCCACATATAGCCGGACTACTTTCATGTTACCTTTGAAATCAAGCTTAATCACAATAATTACATCTTAGATTCATTTTGTAAATTGAATGACTATTTTGCAGGAACCTTACCCTCTGACTGAATATGCCTTTTCCAGCAACATATGTGGCATTCAATCTCAATTGAATTACTTTAGTAAAATACCAGAGGGATTTTTATTTTATTTATTTTTAGAAAGTGAGAGTATTTTCTTTAGAAGTCTTTTTTTAGAAGTTTTTTTTCACATCTTTGACTAAATCTTTGATCTATAGAAAATCTGCAAACTATTATGCCTTTGGTTGAATGTTTATTTTTTAGCAACTGAGGAACCATGTTGAATATGTAACGGAGGGATCTTCAAGAAAGTAAGATATCTTCTATAAAACACCATACTGCTGTGCAACATACGTACATCTTTGACCGAAAGTTTCTTTTCCAGCAACTGAAATGTTGCATTCAATCCCACGACTCCTAGAGATGTGCATGATGCCCGACAGCACCATACCTCTTCTCATAATAATCCTCACTGAGGTCACACCTAATGCAGACGCCGTTTTCCTTCGCATGAAAATGGGTAAGTGCCATTTTTGTTGTGGCTTTGTTTGTTGTTTACTTAAAAATATAAAGAAAAATACGTTGACTAACTTATAAAAGAAAATACATATACCAACTAAATTTGTAATTCAAAATATGTGTACTGTATTAAAAAAATAACACTTCGAAGAAGCTGATTCAAAAGTATTTCTGCTTAAATAATGTGATCCTATGTTTAGGGAACAGAATTTTCAAAAAAGAATAAGAAATGAATATTGTATAAATCAAAAGTTTAGACCAGACATTCTTAAGCATACTGGTATATTATTTATGTACCCTTATAAATAATAGTAATATTAATAAATTATATACAGGTGCGTAAGTAGAAAATAAAGAATAGGTGCATACACTGTTTTTATATTATGTGTTTATAAACGTAAACTTTGTTTTGGTTATTATTATTGGTATTATTGTGTGTATAAGTCCATTGTTTTGTATCGAATACATGACAATGCGTCTGAAGCTTATTTGTTTTGCATATTGTATCGTTGTCTACGAGAATTTATTTTACCAAAATAAGGCTAAAACATATTTCTTTGTTCTAGGGATAACATATCACGTCTCCAAAAGTTTAAAGTTTTATTTCAATAAAGTATCTGAGGATTTTTTAAATCAATATAATATTTCCGATGTTATTTTACTGATGAATATATTTAACTTGTATATTATTTATTATGGTTTAAATCTATTAACATTACTATCAGTTCTACTTTGTAACCTAAGAGCTAATATATATAATTTAAAATATTTAAGCAATCTCAAGAATACAAGGATATAAATAAATGTTCTATATTTGCTTCAAGAAACAAGAAGACATGGGATTATAATAGAAACATTAATGGTCATTTAATCAAGACTAATTAATCATATATATTTTTCTTATTTAAAATAACATAAATCCTCAGATTGAAGAATTGTTATGAAACTGAAGAAGAAGAAGAATTTAAGAAGATTAAGACATGGAAATGAACTGTTACTTCATACTGTAGGATCTTCTGGTGAAAATATTATGCCATTGAAGAAGAAGACGCATTTAAGAAGATTGAGATGTGGAAATCAACTGTAGCTTCATACTATAGGATCTTCAGATGAAAATTAACATCTATGGAGAAATGTATAAGCATCAAAAAGATTTTGCATTAACAGGTCATAACTGAATGTCAGTTAAAACTCACAAACTTTTTTCAAAATTATTAAAATATCAAAATTGGGTGAAAGTCTAATTTAAAGAGGCATTTCATGTGTTTAAATTGAATTTTAAGTCAGTAATAGCATTCTTACAGGTAATAAAAACATCCGTTTCTACATTGGATGCAATTTAAATCAATTAAAGACTGCTGTCGGAAGTCTTTTTTTTTGTAACAATTAACGGAATTAATTTGGTTTATTTTTCAATATTAACAAAATTGCATTTCAAAAAAATCTATTACATATAAATCAATTTAAGATGTTTTGCAAATGCTACCTGAAGATAAGAAGAAACCCACCAAGAATCACAACATTGGAGGAGGAGAGGAATGATCATTTGACAAATGTTTGGAGCAAAAAGGACGAGAATTTTTAACCAAAAATTAACTGCGCCCATTTAAATGGCCCCTCAAAGTAATAACCTGAAAGACACGTTTGGGCCAACTATATTATACAAAGTAGTTTTCCAATTACAATATGTATCTTTTTGCTACCATAAGTCTTTTGCAATTCAGATATTTTTGTAATCGCTAATGCTATATCTTTGACAATTAATAGAACTTCAGCATACAAAAGTGAATTGCAAAGCTAATAATGGAATGAAAAATTACATAAAGTTTGATAATATTTTTGGATTTTGCCTAACGTTACTCTATTTTTATCTTAATCCAGGAGTGATTATACTCTTTATTCGTTTTCTGAACTATGTCTTCGAGCTTATCTAAATAGTAACATGTAATAAGTTTTTTTTTACTTCATACTAATATGGGTAATTGTTTCAAATTTGGGTTAAAAAACAATTCTCCAAGTATGAAAACCAAAAACTTTCAATTCTACAGCAGCAATCAACAACACGAGATCTCAACAATATAATGTAAGAATTCACTAAGCACATATGAGCCCTTTCTTCAAAGATCATGTCTTCACGTCTGAAATATTACTTCTTTACAAGGAAGAAATTAGAAGAATGAAACATACAACTATTTTATTTAAACCAACTATGAATTTGATAACTTAATTAAATATCAATTTAATGATTTTAGTTAATATTGAAGTTAAAACTTAGTACTTTTCCTCGGCTTATTGTTTTGAATTATTCTAAATTGATCTTTAAAACTTTTTTTAAAGGTTACGTTTGTCAGGAACCACAAAAGAAGAAAATAATTGTAAAATAATAATTCAAGGAAGATCTGCATATTTTACATCACATCAGACAGTTTTATTTAAACAGCAAGATTAATATTATGAATCATAAAAGATTACATTTTGAGTATTTTTTTTACTTCAAAACTACTGTTGAAAGGGTCTAGGATTTAATTTGTACTGAAAGCAATATTATAATAAATTTCACTTAGCTATATTATCAATTCGCTACACATTAAATTAATGAAGTAAAATACTTTTGTATACATTTTCAAAGTTGTATATGTGAAATTTCTACAGACTTGAGTTCTATGAATTTTTAATAATCATTCTTTCAAATTTAAAAAGAAAAGCAGTAGATGGCGATATTTTACAAAGAATCTATGGAATTCACGTTCGTCAATCTCTTCATCCAATGGTTCTTGATCTGCTGGATACACTTTACAGATAATAGGAATGCAGAAATGTGTTATGTGGTGTACGCCAATCTCAAATGTTGAAATAAACCTAAAGATAACAAGGCAAGCTTCAAACTAACATTTGAATAGTTTCAATATAAGCAGAAACATATCATGAGATTTAAGTTTGACAAGGATTAACACTATATAATTCTCTATTTCGAAGCAGCACATGATACTTTGTTTACCTAAACTAAAGTAAATATTGCTGACTATCACTCAAAAGTTCAGTGAGCAACTGAAAATTTCCATCTTTATGAAGTCATCAAATCATAATTGTTTATGGGGAACGTGAAAATAAGACACGAAGAAGGGTTGAAACCCTAGGATGAGAAGCTGAGAAGATTCAACTCTTCGTGAAGGATCTAAATGGATGGTTATGGAAGTTACTAACAAAAGTTGTGTGTCAATAAAACCAACCAAACAAATTAACTACTGGTTTTTTGAGTTTTTTTTTGTAGGCTCATAAATATTAAAAGAGACTTGCACTCAAATCAATTAAAGAAGAAAGGATAAAGAAAAAATATTGTTCCACCATCGATCTAGCTTTTACCACGAAGACTTTATGAAAATCTACCTTACGAAGGGAAACGTTCCAAACATCTTTTTCTCACCCCCCCCCTTCCCCCCAATCAATCGCTTTGAAGAATTTATCAAACATTGTAAGCACCGGGAATCAAAATTGAGAAAATCAAAATTGTAAAAAGTACACTTTACGTTATCAGAAAAATGGTACACGTAATCAAATACTTTGTACTTTGAAGGATCTAAGAAATTATAAAGCCTGCATATACTGACTAGTGAACCTAAAACCTAGAAGAGGATCGTAACGAGTTCTAAGCCTGTGGTGCTAAAAGTTGAAAAATACTACAGTGCTTTCTAGCACATTGACAGTTACAGTGCTGTTGCAGACATTGCCAGTTAATTTATTGCACCTAGACAGGTTTAAAATACTTTCTGCAATACTTCGTTTAGAATTTAATGCCAAAGTCGTAAAACATATAGAAAATGTCGCTTTCGCAATAAACTGGATAAAGAGTAAAGAGGATCGAAGTTAGATGCAGGCCTATAAACTTTAACGAGCGGTGAGTTCTCAGTGCATCTACCTCTTTGCACTTTGCACGTTTCTACTTCATTTTGACACAAACTGTCTAGACCAGCAACTAAAGATAACTCAAGACTTAACACGGAGATTGCTGAAGCTATCTAAGAGCTATCGGTACTGAGATAGCGAGAAGGGGGATGCTGCAAGTGAATACTTCAAGATACAGGTGGGACTGTTAAGTAAAACTATTTTCTTTTTGTTCAGCTTCAAAAAGATTAAAGATACCAATCACAGCCAGACTCATTGGTTGATTCTTTTAGATTTTATTTAACTAAAAGTAGATCTTTGGTGTAATGTTGTAAGTTACATTCTTCATTCATATGCTACAGCGGTCAGTGTCATCTCTACTAGTAATGGAATCAAATAACTTAAATCCATTTTAACACCTAAATTGTCAAGAATAAAATCTCAAAAGCTTGTGTTTAATTGGTTCTTTCAGTGAAATTGTGCAAGTAGACATTGTGTTTCTGGGGATAGTTTTTCATCAGACGCGGATCTCATCACCAAACTTACTTCTAAACTAGGATCCTTGCCATTAGATAATTACAGCCATTGTGATTTTTATAGTATATGTGATTGATTAAGTAGACAATGTATATTCCCATAATAGATTAAATCTGCAAGCAGTTTACAATGTCACTTGCAGCTGGCGAAGACTCAAGCAATAATGTTCAAGTTTGTCTTGGCTCGAAATATCTCAGTGACACACAACACGAAGTCCGCAAGAATTTGTGCACCTCGTATTTAACTGTAATCGCCCCGATGTTAATTTTGTCCTTTTGGCCGAAGCGCATCTGCTCTTTTCATTGTGTCTTAACCTTTCGTAAGATTAGGTGAAGATTTGTATAGCGAAGTTGGATTTGGATGGCTGACAAAGATAGTACCGAGAGGTGACGTCTTCGAAGACCTTTGTTTAAAGTAATAGGATTTGAAATTAGATCAAACGTAGTCAATGGACTATTAGCCTTAATCGTACTTCAAGGGGTGGAAACGTGGACTTTTAAGAATAATTCTCTTAATCTCCAGCTTATGATTACTATTGAACGTTAAACATGTCCTAATAATCTTTATTTCAATTATTTTTATTTATAAACATTGGCATAGCATGGCATTATACAAAGTGGGAGCCCTGGTTCATTTTCCAAGTAATATGTTGTATTCCTCTCAATCAGCACTGCAGCAGCATTTATCAAACGGCATTTAAAAAAGAAAACAAAGCAAATCTCTACGTTTTAGGTTTATTCATTCTCTTTGTTCTATTACAGTAAAAAAATTGATCCAAAATTAATAATTGTTCGTTCGTGCTGTACTTAAATGAGATCGTCAACAGTTTATAGCAAGTTCTTTTATTTTTATTTTTATTAATTTGTTGTTTGGTGCTTGTTCTCTCAAATGTAGAAATAAAGATATTCCAACGTGGTTGGCATCCACAACAAAACGATTGGTTTCCACTCTGGCCAACAACTCAGGATGCATACCTTTTAAATGGCTGGCAGTCAAATGCGTAGCGTCACTTATACTTTTTTAATCTAGGTTCAAACTACAAACAAGAGAAACGTTGTCTTCCCCTGATTGGTTCATCTTGATTACCTTCTTCTTCTCTACCTAAGGATCTTTTATTTATGAAACTAAAACTTTTAAATCCCAGCTTGTTTAACGAAATTGAAAAACATCCATGAAAATGGTCAAGGTGGTCGAATCCTGCAAAGTCCACTTCCAATTCAGTCTCACCCTACTATGCTATCTGTAGTATTATATACTGTCATTTTACAACTATTCACAAATATGGTAAATATTTTCACCCTGAACTAGGATCCCGTTCCATTCCTGTCAATTTTGAATGGGAGTGTTAAAGCCCCTAAGTAGTTTTTTATTTGTATTTGTACTTAATATAATTCGTCGTCATTGGGATTCTTAACTCTGCTGTGCGGAACAAATTTAAAATGTGCCTTCAATATTCGTAGTTTAAGTATTTTAACAATTCAACATTCACCCTTATCTGTTTTGGGCCTTTATATTCCAAGTGGTGAAGTTCTTAGCTCGATATTTGTGCTTGTACCCGCCTCATCCACATCCTATATGACTGTTGTAAGCCGAGAATGGTTACGACGGCCACGTCTGCTCCACGAGCTACAAAGTACTCACAATATGAGGATGGTGTCCTTGTCCTTCAGATAATCTAGTAGTAAAGAGCGCTTGCAACGCTCAGGCCGCAACGTAAACTGTTCTATTAATGGGTCCCCTGTACAATGTTATCACCAGTACTCGCCCCGAGTGCCAATACGACTTCAACATTGCTAATTCTGCAATTAAGTCGTGGGACCGGTCGTCATTAAACGCAAAGTCAGGGGTCAAGGCACTTAGGGATAAGTAGACTCGGAGATATTTACCTTTATGAGGAACATTAAGGTAAAATTGTGGAAATCGTGTTGTTTCTGTTCATTATTTATGCAAATGTTTATGTCACCATTCGTACTATTTAATCTCCAAGTGGTTAGTGATCTCGTGCATTTAAGTTCTTGTTGCAGAATCTTATTCCTCCTTGCATTGCTTTGTTTAGCTCTCCTCAACAGATCAAAATTCAACACTGATTGATTAAAATACCTACGCCACAGCAAACCTGCAGACTAAGCGAATTTCAATTCGTCCGATTAAGTAAAATATTTCCATAAGCAGGTCATATTTATTAGTTATAAGGGTTTAGACGATCCCAAGATAAAAACTGTAATAAATATCACTGGCGTAGAAAGATATAATAAAAATTAAAAACAATATGAATTCCCCATTCAAAACACATGGATTTAACGAGTAATGTACTTAGATTTGCTGCTACGGGGAAATTAAAGGAAGATATTGATAGAATAATAATAGTATGGGATGAATAAATAGATATGCGAATTGTTATCAAAATGTATCCTTTATCAAACGAACTACAACAGTTTTCTTTTCCTCCATAAGAATAACATGGAGATTTTAAATGCACGGTTT